GCATACTGCTACGGGATTTACCCCATTTGAATTAATCTATGGCAGGCAAACCTTATTGCCTAGCACCTTTAAAAGGGAACCAAAACCCACATATAACTACGATGACTTCGCATTTGAATTACGAGAACGACTCAGAGCCGCAAATCAAGTCGCTAGAGATAATCTCATAGGGAACCAAAACCCACATATAACTATGATGACTTCGCATTTGAATTACGAGAACGACTCAGAGCCGCAAACCAAGGCGCTAGAGATAATCTCATTGTTGGTAAAAAAAAATCAAAGGACTATTACGACCAAAAGACCGAAATCAACGAATTCAAAGTCGGCGATAAAGTCCTACTATACGATGAGGCATTACGAAGAGGACGTTCCAAAAAGCTCTCTGCTAAATGGACAGGACCCTATGAAATACTAGAAAAGAACTCTAAAGTAAACTACATTATAAAAGTGAATAAGAAATTACTGAAGGTTCATGTGAACCGCCTTAAGCATTTCCTCGCTTAAGTTAAAAAGGAAGAGGTGTGCAGAGGATTGGAGTGAGGACAAAACAAATTTGGATAAAAACAACATAGTTTATTTCAAAAAAAAAAAATATATATATATATTTTCACAAATTTTGGTCAAAACCAACTCTCGGGTTCGTAAGCTTCGTCCCCGAATAACTTCCTCAGGCAAAACAGGTCGGGCTCCGTGACACTTCCCTCTCCCCAGTGCCAGTCCACCAAGGAACGGAGATCCGCCCGGACTCGCCTTCTCATTCGCATTTCGCGAATGTTGATGAAGTCGAGCTAAAAGAAAAATGGAAACAAACAATGAATTAATGCAAAAGACAAGCAAAATTCAAAACAGAAATGTAAGCCCAAATACTCACTCCGGCTAACGAAATAGTTAGCGCCCTCTCAATTCTATTTCGAAGGATCACCTCTGCCCTCCTTAAAAGATCGGCGGTCCTCTCCGCCTTGGACAAGACCCTCACTCCAGTAGAGAAAGGAGCCTCTGCCGACAGTCTCGAAATGGAAGAATTGTTCGGACACATATTTCAATGTTTAATGCGCAGCCACAGCTAATTCACGCTTTATATAGCCACGAAAACTTATACGTCACAAAAGCTGAATGGCAATTTTCTACTTACCTTTCGTACAATGCCAAACTGCACATGTTGCAGGTTCACCGCACTATGGTTCGGGACGACCCAAATCCAAAACGCACTAGCTCAGCAATTGACGATAAGAGAATTCGATACTACTCCAGGGATATACTTCGAAAAAATGGGAAACCTCGTAAACTATAAGGATACTTGGAAGTTGGTCATTCACACTGACCTAAGCCCCATATTTGAAAGAGAGGCTACCATCAAGCAATACCTATCGAAAACTAAAAAGATGTGTGGAACAACCTCTCTAGAATTGCAAAGAATATGCAAGGCTTTCAGCACTTCTTCTAAGGCTCGTCTTCAGGAAATAGATGCCAAATTAGAATACGTTAAGGAAACCATACTCGATCCACAGTCAAAAAGGAAAAGAGGACTAATTGACGGACTAGGATCCTTAGCCAAATCCTTGTTCGGTACAATGGATGCCGAGGATGCCAAACTGATAAATAAGCAGATAACGGCTTTTAATAAAGAAGGAAGCGCATTAAAAACCGCTTTAAAAAATCAGGTGCAGATCACTAAAGCAAATTTGCGGATGATAAACGAAACCGCAGCTAACGCTGAACACAACGAGATGATACTGTTTAACCTTACATCCCATATTAAAGAACAAATGGACGAAGGATTTAGACTGGAATCTTTCCGAGAAGAACTCGACGAACATTTTATTATCCTCTCGTTATACATCGAAATGTTTCATGGATGTGTTCAGGATCTTGTAGAATATCTGGTAGAAATCCAAAAGGGAATCCTATATCCAGGAATAGTATCGTATCCAAAAATAATTAAACTACTGAAAGAATCTCTAGAACACTTACCTCAAGGGTTAAACTACCCAATAGCCTTGATACCCGAAAACGCAAGATACCTCAAAGAAATTTCAGAAATAGAGGCCTATAGTGAAGGTAACTCCATCGTTACTTGGTAGAAATCCAAAAAGGAATCTTATATCCAGGAATAGTATCATATTCAAAAATAATTAAACTATTGAAAGAATCTCTAGAACACTTACCTCAAGGGTTAAACTACCCAATAGCCTTGATACCCGAAAACGCAAGATACCTCAAAGAAATTTCAGAAATAGAGGCCTATAGTGAAGGTAACTCCATCGTTACAATAATCAAAATACCACTGACATCATCCCAAGAGTACCACGTAAATAGAATACACTCTCTGCCTGTACACATGAAAAATGGCACGTACGCTTATATAAAGGCGGAAGAAAAATACGCAATAGTGGGACACGAAATACAAACGTTCATCAGGATGACACGAACCGAATTGTAAGATACCGCTGACATCATCCCTAGAGTACCACGTAAACAGAATACACTCTCTGCCTGTCCACATGAAAAATGGCACGTACGCTTACATAAAGGCGGAAGAAAACTACGCAATAGTGGGACACGAAATGCAAACGTTCATCAGGATGACGCGAACCGAATTGGACAACTGTAAGAAAATTAAGGATCAATACTTGTGTGAAGCAAGGCACCCAGTATTCAAAATTAGACCATACGGTTCCTGCGAAACCCAACTTTTTACAAATCCATCGTCATACCCTCTATCCTGCGAAACAAGGCAAATCAAAATTGAAAACACACTCCTAATCGAAATGGAGAACCCCAACTCTTCCATCGTCGTACCCTCTATCATGTGAAACAAGGCAAATCAAAATTGAAAACACACTCCTAATCGAAATAGATAACCCCAACTTTTGGCTACATGTGGCGGACAAACCAGAACAAATGATGGTATAGTATACGTCAGGTATAATTGAAATAAAAGGAAAATGTAAACTAACAGCCGAAGGTCTCACTCTAGAAACCGAAGGAAAATATAAGCTAGACGTAACTTTATACTATTTACCTCCTCTAAACCTAACACTTATTACTGATAACTATGTACCAAATATTGTATCTAATAACAATAATATACAACCTAAGCTAAGAAGTCTCATAAAGGATCTTAACGAACTAAATGCACTAAGCAAGAAAATGTCAGAAATACAGAATAATTTAAAAGGGGATAATATCGATACCTTCGTAGATATCATATCATCACCCATCTCCTATTCAATAGGGACAATATTTTGTATCACTATTTTTATACTAATTATAGTAATTTATTTCCTAAGAAATAGGGCAAACTCAACTACTTCCGGAGAAACTACTCCACCTAGTGTAATAGTAATAGGAAACTTCCCCAAATCCAATATAAGACTCGATTGTAATAAAACCAATGTACACGGGAAGTAAAACAAATGTATACCTTACAAAACACTCGGGTGACTGAACCCGATGTCAGCAAAATTTATGCAAGCAAAATTACGAGGCAGGCAACCAGTACAACGACCTACAAAAAAATTGAAAGACTAAAAGAAAAGCCCATGAGAATGGATCTTTCCTTTTTCTATGGGGGTAGGCATGTTGTAAACCATAACATAGATTTGGAAAAGCGCCTACGTCAGAAGCGCTAATATTATGGAAACAAAGGAGACACATCACCGACATCATGGCGAAATATAGAAACAATCCTTTGGTTATTGTATCTCTAAAAATTCCTTAATTAAGATATAAAAGTCGGTGGTAACAGATTGAGAAGGAAAAAGGATGGAGGATAGAGGTGTATAAAGGTGGAACGTTACAGTATATATATGTATATATTTTTAACACTTACCGATTGTGTTCAACCCGTTTTTACTCGCCACTTCCTTCTTTCTTTTTAACTGTCGCTTACTTTTTTTTTAAATTATCACCGCTGTCTAACGCTTATCACCAAGGTACTGATAAGAAGATGCGAGGATGACTCATGGGGCACCGTCTTTTTCCCCCACCATGACCATAATTTTTTGCATAGTTGCAAATAAGAAATACATGTAGGAGTTTACGCGCGCGAGGGGTTTCGTAGGGACAGCCAACACAATGGTATTCCTACGCCAATCGTATTTGCGCATCGTTCGCTAAATTGACTAAAAGAGGAGTACCAACATTCCAACATCTACGAAAGCTGCGGAGGATTCACCCCGAGCAAAATATCGGGGGCGGGGGGAGGGGACGATACCCACCCGTCGATAGCTAAAAAAATATCGATCAAGAGAATACGTGCGATACATCTATAATATAGGGCATTTCTTACAAAACACCATGTTCTACCTTACCCCGGAGTATTTCTTAGGATAATTAAAAATTGTTACCTACCGGGGGTCACTGTATAATTACCGACCATGATAGTCCCATGGGGACATGCAGCATCGCTGCGACTGAGAGGTTTTCGGGCCATAGAACTAGAGCCGTATGGCCGTGAGCCACCATAGGAGTGAGGGGGGTTGCAGGTACATTTGGGGCGCGGGTAGAGAACCCCCGTACATAGACGTGGGGGTGGCGTCATAGTACGGCATGGGGAACGGAGCGCAGTGCACTCTAAAAGTAAGGTTGCACAGTATTCGAAATGTGGCGCTTTTATACTCTTATATATCATGCATCTAGTGTATGGTGTTAGGTACGATTCTATTCTGTTAAGGAAGCTCCTCTTCTTTGCAACTTTTTTTCGTATATACTATACATGCTCCTTGAGCTATAATTTTTCACATATCATAACGTCTAGATATTTCATAACTTCAACCCTTTTTATGCTTTTTCGTCCCGTACTATTAAGTTCAGATCCCTACCTCTTCTCTTTTGTATTCCTCTTACCATCATATATTTGGTCTTGTCCGTATTTAGTTTTAGCTTATTAACGCTCAGCCAGTGTTCTATCCATTGCAGTACCAGATTCATTTTGCTTTCTATTTTTTCTGTACTGTAACTTTGCACATAATACCATCGTATCGTCAGCAAACAGTTTTATGGTACAATCTTTCGTCGCTACATTTATTATATCATTTATATATATGATAAACAGCAACAGGCCTAATACTGATCCCTGTGGTACCCCATACTTTGTTTCCACTTTTGTAGACCACTAGTTATTAAATTTAACTCTTTGATTTCTGTTATCTAGATACGTCTCTAACCACTTAAGTACCTTTCCTCCTATGTGATATTGATATAATTTATGAAGTAGCTTCTATCAGTCTATTTTCTGAAATGCTTTATTTAAATCTAAAAACAAGGCACCTATTATTTTACCCTTACTAATTGTCACTTTCCAATCATCAATAATCATTTTGTTGTACCGTAACGTCTCGGAGACGAAGGGGTTCGGTTGAGAGGTTGTTACGTCCGACGCAACTACACCCCACCATTTCCCCCAAACGCCCCTGCCCTATTACTTTGCGATCAGGTCTTACGCGCATCTAGCCCCTCCTTAGTATAAGTTAGAAATAAGATAGTAATAATCATAGGATTGTAAGTCCATGGGAACAGTCCCTCTACGGAATGTTCCCATGGGAACCTATCAGTGAGTGTAAGAGAGAGAGAGTAAGTTCCATGAGTTAGAGAACTTTAGGACCATGAACTCCAGAGTACGTGCCGATAACGTGACAAGACCGCGGGAACCAAGAACAGTCCGCACTGGTCCCACGATTCCAGAATGCACTAAATCAGCAGTTTTCTATCCCTTCTCTAGACCCTTGCACTCCTCGAGGAGGAATCCCAAGAATCCCAAAATTAAGTAAGTTCGCCCTCCACGTACTTCCTCCTCGGAAATCAGACGTGTCGGACGTAACAAGGTTAGGGCTGAGATTATTTTGGGATCGTTGCCGGTTAAGGAGTTGGAACTCGCGTGAGATTAACAAAACTGAGAAGGTTTATTAAAATGATCCAAAAAGATGTACAGTATTTCGACGTAGATCGATTTGAAATATATAGGCACCGTTCGGTTTTCCTATTTCCTGTACCGAGTCTACTCAACGAAACCACCTTATTCGTTCAGATACTAACTGTAGACTGCCCCATTTTCGGAGGTACAGCCATCAAAGCTGCACTTCCGAAAATGTGCTTATTGTGCGATTTTCAATTTCCACATCTCGGTTACGAGGCCGCCTTTAGTCCTGACTTAGCGGATTGCTACACGCGTGGTCTACTTGGCCTGGCCTTTTCCTTGGCGTCAGGAAACTCCCAGTGCAAGATCCCTCCCCCCTTAAAGAACATCAATCAATCATTGTTTGGAGTTCGCCTCTTTTCCGGTGGCCTCGAGTGAAGACTTGATTAAGGTCGTTACCCTCGTGGAACACAGCTTCCATCATTATATGAGTACAATTTTTATTTAATTTTAGCCAGGGTGTCTGCCCGTAACATTGGTCCTGGTCGGCCCAACGAAAACGTCTTCCGCGTGCTCTGTTTAGAGCTGCTTGCAGACTATCCGGCTTTGATACTAGCAGTTCCAATTGTATATTTACCGCCGGTGACACCGGGCTCAGCTTGATGGCCGGTGTCGTTGATGTCGAATTATGCTTACGCTTGTAACACTTGTACACGGCAAAACAAACCAATGCTATTGGCGCTATTGTACCCAATGAGTAGAACCCTAGATTATGATAATATTGTTCTAGGTGTTGGTCGTCATGGTCCAGGCTTGCCTTAATGCTAGACACTCGCGTCCCGAGGCGCGCTAACTCCTCGGTGTTTCGTAGCACTTTAACAAGTTTCACCGTTCCGATATCACTGGTCACTCGCGGGGGACTAACTTGGTCCATCTCCGATAGTGTGAGATTGAAGGGGGACAAGTAGTCCTCGTTAGCGACCTGGGTGATGCGTCGGATGGTTCGCAAGCTGAAATTCTGGGCGGTTACCGTACATACGCCTACCAAAGCCAATACACCTACGTGTCTTAATGTTTCGTGCGACGCGGGGTTTCCGTCGCAGGTAATACTAATTGATTCGTCGGTGGGCGCTACAAATAACCATTTACCCGGCTGGTGCATAGTAATCACTAGGATATGGTCGAACGTGATGACCCGCTTTGGACAGTTAAGGCCGTTGCCCGTGTCCATTTTTGCGAACATCAGCACTTCGCACGGTGCTGAGCTCGTCAGAGGAATCGACGGATGCAGGGGATTGCATATATATCTACTCGCGAAATGTTTACAATTTTTCAATTCCAGGTTAGTCATTCGTAGGAAGTTTCAATTTTCCTGGTCCACAATCACAAGGTCTTCCGAGGTGTCGGGACCCACCTGAAGGAGAGAAGGATCCGTTAAGACAGTTAGCTCTGACTGCGTTTATAGACGGATTACCGACAAAAATGAACGATGCCGTAGACGCGCGGGAGCCGGCGTCGTTAGAGGAGGCTTTTCATATAGCTCAAAGGTTTGCCGATAGAGACGATCGTGGAAAACGCCGCGTCCGTTGAAGCACCTTCCGAGGAGTAAGGACTATACCCGAGGGAGTGAAAGACACGGACGACCAAGCAGAGAATGTTGCTGCTGTTCTAAAATACGAGTCGATCTTTCGCCTAGTCCGGTCGATCGTCAAACTTTCAACTACCAGGAGGCTCGTCGCCCAAGTCCGACGGCGAGCCGTTCACAAGAACCGCAGCATGTGAGTCACCTGGACGAGAAGCAAATCATGGTGAAATTCTTGGAAAAGTCTGCACCGTCCTCTGGACGAGCGCTTCAGTAGAATCACCGGTAGTGGAAATGTCAGCCCAGGAACTTCGTAACCGAGTAGGACGATTTTTCTTAGACACGTGTTCGGATGCCAGCCTTATTAAACTGAG